ATAGAGATATTTTCTATTGTGAAAACACACCACTGACTTTCACAAATCAAGTTAAACACAAAATAAATTTAACGGATGAAACACCAATTTTCACGAAAACTTATCGTTATTCATTCATACATCAAACAGAAGTAAAATCACAAATTTCCAAAATGTTCGAAAACGGCATAATTCAAGAATCTACTTCTCCATGGAGTAGTCAAATTTGGGTTGTACCAAAAAAATTTGACGCTTCAGGAAAGAAAAAATGGCGATTTGTGATTGATTATTGAAAACTAAATGACAAAACTATTAACGATAAATTTCCCTTCAGAAAAATCAGCGACATACTTGATAAATTAGGCAAAGCACAATATTTTACTACCCTCGATCTAGCGAATGGTTTCCACGAAATAGAAATGGAACCTACAGATATTCAAAAAACAGCTTTCTCTACTGATACAGGACATTACGAGTTCACTCGAATGCCTTTTGGTTTGAAAAATGCCCAATCTACATTTCAACGCGTAATGAATAATGTCTTAAGAGGAATTCAAAATGAATTTTGTTTAGTTTACTTAGACGACATAATAATTTTCTCTACCTCTTTACAAGAACATATCGAGAGACTAAAATCTGTTTTTGAAAGGTTAAGACAGTCAAATTTCAAAGTCCAACTTGACGAAAGCGAATTCTTACATAATGAAGTTGCTTACTTAGGTCATAAAATAACAAATAAAGGAGTTAGTCCTAATCCAGACAAAATTAATGCAGTAAAACACTTTCCGTTACCTCAAACACAGAAAGAAATAAAATCGTTTATAGGTTTAGCTGGTTACTACCGCAAATTTATTAAAGATTTTGCAAAAATTACCAAACCTTCAACAATTTGTCTCAAGAAAGGAGCTAAAGTCACACATTCACCCGAATTTCAAAAATCTTTCAATTATTTGAAGAATCTTCTAATTAATGCCCCAATATTAAAATATCCAGACTTCAACCAACCATTCGTTTTAACAACTGACGCTTCAAACATTGCACTAGGAGCAGTATTTTCCCAAGGCACACCCCCAAATGATCACCCAATTGCATACGCGTCTCCAACACTAAATGATACTGAACAAAAGTATTCAATCATTGAAAAAGAACTTCTAGGCATAGTCTGGGCATGCAAATATTTTCGACCCTATTTATATGGCAGAAAGTTTGAAATCTATACGGATCATAGACCTTTAGTATGGCTATTCAATCTAAAAGAACCCAATAGTAAATTAGTACGTTGGCGACTCAAATTAGAGGAATACGATTATAAAACATGCTATAAGAAAGGAAAACAAAATACAAATACCGATGCTCTATCACGAATTCAACTAAACGCGCTAGAATCCGAATCTTTAATGAATTCACCTGGAAATATTGATCAAGATATTGATACATTTCTAGATGAACTGAAATCGAAAATCCCAAAGGTATCAAAATAATTTCTAATATTCAACTAAGACCTACTTTGTCGGAACATAATACAAAACCCCAAATTATCTCAAGTGACAACACTGTTCACAGCGTTAATGCAGATCAAAACTACTCGGAAATGACCCTTCTAG